TCCACCTAATTTCCGTCTGACATGTTAGTTCAAGGACGAAATCGATTGTGCCGTGCAGCGGCAGTTTAAATGCCGTTCAGTTGGCGCCATCTAATGCCACTCATGCAATGCCCACTCACCTGCATCAATTGAAAATTCATGCGCGCTGAGTACCTTCTGGAGGTTGCCTCAAATTCGAATGTGAAAGCAAGTTGTGCTTGAAGAGCAGGACAAAACTCTGCGGTCGATTTTATCCCATGGAAGGTTCCATTGTGCGCAAATTAACTACCTTGAAGCAATAGTCCTAAGCGAAACTACTTTGCTGCCACAGTGCAACTACTGTGCAAATTAATGTAGTGAATACAACATTTCGCACGGAAACATGTTGCCACGAATACTCCAACGTACACTGAATCAATGTGCGCTGTCATTTTTTGTGCCGTCATCCCCCCTGGCATATTAACTATCGGCATGCGCACAAAACGATTTTCATTTGCTTATTGCCTGGGTAGCGGATAAAGGCACATGCACCCACATGTGTGCATGTACGTTAGGACACCACTACACAAAGCCTGACGCATGAGCCCGAAGACGAGCAAAACAATTGGCACACGCACAAAACATTTTAATTTGCTTACTGCTTGGGCAGAGGATAAAGGCATCAGCATCCACATGTGTGCATATATGTATTGGACCCCACTACATAAAGTCTGCCGCATGATTCCGAAGACGAGCAAAACAATTGGCACACACACAAAACGTTTTCGTTTGCTTACTGCTTGGGCAGCGGATAAAGGCATGCGCATCCACATGTGTGCATATATGTATAGGACCCCACTACATAAAGTCTGCCGCATGGGCCCGAAGGCGAGCAGACTCAACGGTCAAGTCTGTTCAGAAACCCGACCAAATAAGTCCAATCTTGGAGAATCGGCGAATCCCAAGCGAGCACTGCCAGCTTGCGAACACATGCAACACAGGAAAGAAAGATGGATGGCGCCCCTTAAGGCCTTCACATGTCGCAGGAGCGCGCACGACATCGAATGCTGAGGAGCAGGGTGTGGGTGTCGCACGTCCAGCCGTTCTGCGCGGATTTCGCCGCCGTGCTGAGCAGCCTGGCTCCCGAGCGGGAGCGCATGCACTCGGAGTGCAGCACCCTGGCGAGGTACCTCCTGTCGCAGCGCATGTGGGCCACCGCGTCCTTCCTGCTGACGGCCTGCCTGAGGGCCGGTGCCCGCGTGAGCCTGGGCCCCTTTGCGCTGGGCGAAGAGGACCTGGGGCCCCAGAGCCTCAGTGAACAGTTTGCCCTGGCGGGTGGGGAAGACTCGAGTCTGGGTGTGGACGGCAGGTTGTCCATGTTCCATGTGGGGGAAGATCGCCAGCTGGTAAGCATCAGTGAGTTCAGCTCGTGAACGACCGTACGCTCAGCCGCCAGGCTGCCACAGGGGTGCAGGTTTGGGACGGCCTGGCCAAGAACAAGTCCAATATATTTTGCGCAATTGAGACATGGAGATATTTTACATATTAAGAGGGAAATTTTCGGACAGACGTTGTTACGGAAATTGGATGAAACCGACGGCAGATCGACGGTATTGTGGAATGTGTCCCTCGTTCGGTACACTGGGCTAGTTACATGGCATTTCAGTTGCCCGAATAATAGAAATGTTGTGGTGACTTACTGGATGTGCTTTAGCCTCGGCCGCTGCCAGGCAGGAACGACAACGATTCTCGATGGGACGTGGACGGCGTTTCAGGTGGAACATTCAACTCAACAGAGGAATTGGGAGAATTTGGAGCAAAATGTAGTTGCTCTTCATGGGTGAATCGCTATTGTTATGGGGAATAATACGTCTTTGAATTTTCACCAAGTTTGCTTTCTGGGATACGTGAACATGTTGAAGCATTTCACCTCTTGTTCATCGCGATGCTGTTGGGAATGGACAGTTGCGGGGATGTACCGACAGCCGTTGCCAGCCCGAAGCAGCATCAAATATCTTGATCGACTTTTGCATCATCTCTGCGAGGGTGTATTTCAAGGATTAGCTTGATTTTTTGTTATGATTGCCTTTGGTCGGAATTCGCGGCGATGCCGGTTTTGGGGGAACAAAACCCATTTACACGATGCTGTGGCTTTGGGTTTGCCATTTTCGAAGCGGAAACGGAGTCAGCGGAGCGAGTCATGGTAGATGAGGAAATGGATCATGGCGCTATGCTATTTGCAAACGAGTGACAATACAAGATTGCTTTCTACCGTGAACAACATAGAAGATAGCCAGACTGAAAAGGGCTGGGATATTCCAAATTCATGCGGGAAGCAAGGATGTAGATGTGGAACGCGCACAAGTGGATTTCATGTAACAGATGCTGTGTAATATCATCGTGCGCTGATTCCCTTGGCGATAGCTAAATTATAGGCTATTTGCGTGGCTCAATCATTCGCACGACAACCGGGTTGAAGCTTTTGAGGCAAACCTTCCGCACCGGGGAGCGTCGCGGCTGGCCAACGGCAGCTCGAAATTGCTCGGGCGCTGGGTCTCAAGATACAAAATATCATCTCGTTCCATAACTGGTAAAAAATGACACCAAGAACATGGCTATCATCACAGGAGTTGATTCTACTACAGTGCAACGTATATTTCAAATACGCAATTTTCACCAGTTGGCACAATTGGAACAGTGACAGAAATTTTCATAAAGGGAAATTTTCTACTGGTGGGTTCTGTCCCATTTCTCATATTGGTTCTTCCGTTGGGATTGGAATGAGCGGTGCGATATTTACTGCCAACTTGAACGCTGAGTCCTCAGTGCGCTGTTTGGTACAGCGCCTGCTATGGTGGAGGCGGTTGGGCTCCTCGGCGGACGCCCACAGGACTGGAAACATCGTCTTGCTTGCCTCATAACTGATCCGTTATCTTAGCAGTCATGCCTGACATCCGATTGATGTCGTGCTGATGCGTTCCGGCTCGGTCGAAGTAAGCAAGAATTTGAAACTGGGAGTAGTAAGGCTGGGGAAGCAACACGGCATGGCTTGGCCACGCAAGCCGAGCAAGATGGCCCAAAACAACCCTTGCTGCTTGTCAACCCCCTCCTCACGAACGTTGCCATGCCAAGTTCATGTGATTCATGGAATCAAGGAGCCAGCAGGGCCAACCGTCCAACGTGGCTCAGGCAGCACACCATGTGTTTTCTTTTCACGCACCGCCTGAAGGCGCCTAAACTCCCCCCTGGAACAGCAGGGGGGACTTCACCGATGCATGGTATCATATTATAGCCGCTGATGCCAGCGTGATGGCAGCAACGGCGCTCCAGAGCGCCAGGGATCCTCACCGCCGTGCACGGCTAGGCTGCAGTATGAGCAGGTGTCCTATAAGCCGCTTCCATCTGCAAAATGTTTGGCGGGCAGCCCAAACACTCTCCTTGATGATGGCGAGCAAGGGCGATAGCCAATCGCTAATCGACTAGGCAGTCCAGGCTGCAAGTCCTTAGGGCCTACTTTTGTGACTACTCACACGTAAGAACATCAAGAAAATACTTTCTCATAAGTACACATAAGGCGCGCGTACTTACGTGTAAAACACAAAGCCTGTTCCTCAGCATATTATTGTAGCGGTCGGGCTGCGGTGGCGCCGGTCGAAGGCGCGACGAGGGCAACGCGCGGTCGCAAAGCCGCCGCGGTGGCAGGAATATTTCTTGCAGTTCCGCGTCACGACAGTTGTTCTGTTCGCCTGAGGGGAGCTCCAGCGCCCCGTGGATCTGGGCCGCTGTCGCCGGCTCCAGGCGCACGGACCTGTGTACGCCGCCGAATGGCCTAAAGCCCGGATCGATCCTACCTCTGATCGACAGGTTCCTTGAGCTAATGAGTGGATTCAGTCGACAGTTTTGGAGCCCACGCAATGCAAGGGAGACACAGATCTGAGGGGCCAAGGGCGTGCGGCGTGGGCGAGCCCTGCGTGATGCGCACGCCCAGGTCGACAACCGCGATGGCTCCAATTTCCGTCCCTGAGCGCAATTTGGCAATGGATCGTCTTTTTCTGTGCCAGTTAAAGTGGTGTTGTTGCGCGCCTCATGCTGTCGTGTGCAAGGGCCGGGTCCTCGCGCAAAGCCTTGCCATGGGTGCTGCCGCATGCCGAGCCCACGGATTCCCTGTGCTCGGTCGACATGGGTGCTTGCTTCGCACGCGGCCACGCGCTGCGGAAGCACAAATGTAAAGGTTCGGTGGGGGGTGCAGGCGACGAGAAATGGCGCCATTGTCACCGTGGGGATCTTCGCACTGGGAGAGGCCGACTTGAGGCCGACAAATTTGAGGAACGCCTTTGACGCCATGGGCCATGGGATGGAGGGGCGCGGCATGGAGGAGAGGCTGTGGCTGGATGTATCCAAGATGCGGACTGACCGGCCGGGGCGGCATTGACACACGCCAATCGTTTATCAACCGTACATCACACACGAAATCGCATACGTGTCACCATTGCATCCATGCAATGAACAGGTAGAGAATGGATGTGGTGCTATCACAGCACGCACGTTTGTGCTGTGGTGGCTGAAGAAGTGGAGAAATGGATCACCGGGGCGGTCTGTTTGGTGCGGTTGAAGTGAATGCGAATTGGGCCGCATCTAGGCGGAACACAGACCACTGCATCGTGCGCATTCTTACACAGATCCTTGACCTCAACAACGTGAACTTCAGCGGCCGAAATTCATTGAACACAAGCCATGAACAGCACGATCGCCGAACTTTACTGTCTGCCTACGACTGTTCGACCAACATACAAGCAGCCATATGGCGCTGGAAATCCACTCGCTTTGCATCTATACCTCAAACGCGTCCAGGACAGTGGGAACAGAAATCAAATATACAATCCAGGATTCAAGAAAAATTCAGCATCCCATTCAAAGGGATTCGTTCAAGTGTTCGCCATTCTGTAAGCTTGAGGAGACCGGATTAGATGGAGACCTAGCTCCCTTGCACTCAAACTGCGGATGGGCCGCCGGCGTCTGAGGCAACTTTGCACCACCAACGATTATTCCCTGCACAGGCTGCAACACAGCTTCCAGCCTAGAAATGCAGCGAGCATCCGTGGCGGGAAAACAGAGAAACTAGCGAAACGAATGGACTCCAAACATCTATCAAACTTCCTTTCCTTGCTACCTGCCATGTCCTCCGACAACGAAAGAACCTCGGCGGAATTGAAATTGGTCGCTCGATACTGATCCCGCCCGCAAACAGCTACTTCAGGCCCATCTGAGGAAAGCACCAGACGCAAGCGATGGACTTGGGCAACTCCTCCTCTGCCATTGCGGAAGTTCCCTGCCGTCACCGCGTCCCATCTCAGACGCAAACGCCACACAAACATCATCGTACAAGAGATTCAAGGGCAGCATGAAATCGTATTCCAGCATGCGCAGTCATAAATTCCAACTTTAGACGGCAGTCAAGGTCCAAGAGCCGCCGGAAGGACCGATGCACGGAATCCCAGCGCAGCACCTCAATTGGCATGGGCCTGAAGGACGTTTCATCGTGCAGACGCTGGCCAGTCCAGCTTCTCCGCAACAGCAGCAGACCCCATGTACGGGCCTTCGCGGCAACAAGTCTCCCCCGTCCTTCCACGTTTCCCGCGAGAAAAGAGGCTTTGGGGCAACACCGCGTCTGCCTGCTGGCCGCCCCGCGCGTGCCACCCGCTCTTCGCTGTCTTTCCCTCGCTCCCCGTGGAAGAGCACGTGAACATCTCCATGGTCCACAGCCTCTCGGGCCCCATCTTTCCCGCCATCTCTCCCACCGTCAGCCCCGCAGCCCCTTTCGGCAATGCGGGGAAGTCCTTCCTCAATCTGGCCGCCTCCACATCCTCGCCCAGCAGCGCGTAGGGGCCCAAAGTCACCGAGGCGCCCGACTCCAGGCAGGCGGTGAGCAAGAAGGATGCGGATGCCCACATGCGCTTTTTCAGGAAGAGCATTGCCGTCTCGGCGCACGCCTGGTGCAAGTGGCCGCTGCCCGACGAGAGGCCCTCGAGGAGGTCGGCGAAACGCGAGCACAGGGGGGCGAAGTGGCTGCACCACGCCAGCTCCTTCGCCTGCGGGAGTCGTTGTGCCCGTTTGGTGTGGGCTGGAACACTGCCGATTTTTGCGGCTTGTTGGGATTCTCTCTGGGGGAACCAAATAGAGGGAGATTAAATGAACACATCAGGGATCGCTGAGAGTGCTGCATTCAGCATCTTGCATTAATGCAATAAGATGTCAACAAAACCCCATCGTTCTGACTACCAGGTGTTAATTTCACAAAATGTGCATGTGGGAGATTCTGCAAGTGTTCAGGCAAACAGAAACAAAAACAACCACCACAACTCCTATGCTTTCTGTTTCAAACTCCTTTCAGACAGTTCAATTGCGCCTTAAGCTCCAGAAATACCGAATAATTGAATTTATGAACTGCCTTGTAGTAAATTTCAGTATTGACAGTTGTGGGGCGTTTTCCAAATTCCAGATTCGATGATTCCAAAAAAATCAAATCTTTCAAGAATTTGTCTCCAGACAGATGGGATCACAGCGCAGTCACAGCAGTGGTGCCAAACAGCAGATGGGTCAATTAGGGATGCACACTGATGCTACAGAAAAGCACTACCACACACACACCATAATCGCGACACTGTGACACTATTGAGGCTTCTCAGGTGGGTATGCTGACAGTGCATCAAAGGTAAAGTCGTCAGCCACGATGCGTGGGGACACTCATCTCGGACCTCCTCAAACCCTGCCCATTCACGACAACTATTCCAAAGGCTGCGCACTGCCGAACAATTACAATGGTTAGCAATGAAAATGCGAAGAACGACCGACTGGAGCAAAACTTGCGGTTGCCTTCCGCTTTGTTCGCGATCATTTCAATTGTATGGATGGTGGCTGTGTACCTTTTTCCTCTTTGAGCAAATTGCCCTCTCTATCCCCTTGAAAAGACGGCGAAACTCCTGCGCCACAGGCTCTGGCAGCGACAGCATGCAAGGAGCGACCTGGTTGTGCCCATACCCATTCGGGTGGATTGCGACACGGAGTCGGCAGCTCTGGAAAGCTGGGAGGGAGATCCTGTTTGCGCAACAAAGGAGTCAGTGCGATCGCGAAGTACGGGCACTGAATGATTTCTGTTGAGAACCATGCAGTGCTGAATTGCCAAAACCTAGTATAGGATTGTTCAATACATTTTACCAAAAGAATCAGTGACATACTGACCCACTGACCTACTGACCTACTACCAATAGTCACCACTTCTCTACTGTGACATCATTTATGGAAGACACTGCGTCGATTTGGTGTGCTTAGCATCCTTTTCATGTTAACATCAGCCCCCCACCCCACCCCCCCACCCCCACCCCCACCCCCAAACCCCTCTTAGCGTCAATCCTCATGTCCATGCTATGATGACTCAGCAACATTACTTAATCGTGCGGTGCAACTTCATAATATTTTTGATGAAGTCAGAGCTTTCAGTTGCAGCAATTCTACTGTTTTAAAGCTTGGGATGTAGATCCATGCCAAAGCAATGGAACCTATCCTCGAAATGTTCAATGAGACAGTGTTTGGCCATTACTGGAGATTGGATGCTTGATGGAAGCTCTGGAACTAGTCAAGAGTTTTTCCTATCGGCGGTATTTAGGGCATCTTCACAGCTGATGTCTGTTCTGTGGCAATTACATAATCTCTTATCATCGCAGGTCTGGGCTTCCCCCCCTTAAGGGTAAAATGGACGCTAGGTGCATCACTAGTGTAAGTACTGGCGAGGTCGAATGAGGGTTTCGATGTCTCAAAATGCGAACTCACGGCAGCGTTTTATAACAAATTTGGACAGCGCCATAGATGGCGATCAGCACTCTCACTACCCAAAATTGCCCATTTAAAGCCATCTATGTCGTCGCGGATCCTTCGACTCCCCACCCCGTTGCGTCATCAAATCACCACATCCGGGGTGAACACAATATGCAGCACGTCCTTTGCAATTGCATTGCCGCTTAGGCGCCTGCCTTGCACGTGTCACTTCGGAACCCAGGGACCCATGATCCACCCTTGTTTGTTCAACAAGTCAAGGGAGAAGGGGCGCTGTGCACCAAACACCTTGCCAAGGAAAGGATCACATAGACTTGGTTGATGGCGCACGTTAACCAGGGCCAAGCGTGGTACCGAGGAAGGCAGGCAGGGTCGAGGGGTGGCGACCCCTAAACGGGAACTGTACGCTCGGGTCCACGGCAACGGTTTACAGCCGAGGCAAAAGGACAACAGACGTTCTGTCCTTATATTCAGCCCGTTCATCAACATCCTTAATGCAATTCCTAGTGCTTCATCATCTTTTCGTGCATTCGGTTATTAACAACACTCAATCAGTTCTAGCCGTAACAGTGCTGTATATTACTTCCAGTGCTATTTGCCACATGCAGTATGTATTAGGCCTGTTACTTCCCTTCACGGCACCATTTGTACGTTTACATTTTTGCGCATGAAAATGCCTAATGAAGAAAGGGTCAGATGTCGCAATTTTTATGGCTCGAGGACACACCCAGGCTACACGATAGTGTTCCAAGCTATGTTTAGTCATCCGCACCCTCGATCACCCGCAACACAGATTCCATATCGCCCTAAGCAAGGGCGGTGAGTTCGCCGAGTAAAAGCTCGTTTCATGCACACTCCAGAGTGTCTGGCTACTGTTCTCCAAGCTCCCTGAGTCTGTGTGTACTATATTTATGTGCACAAGGCCCGCTTTCACGCGATTCCCCATATATTTACATGGAAAAACGCAAAGCTGTTTTGCACATAAATGCGCTAGTGATTTACTGTAAGTAACAAGCCTAGTATGTACTACTGTCTATTGCTGATGTGCATTAGTGTGAAATTCCATTGCACTTGAAGCTCGGGTTTCTAGGCCACATTTCAGACAAAGCTGGAGCCAAAAATGAAATGGGCCGTTTCCATGACGAGCTGTGAACACCCCGATATCATGGTGAGAGATATCGCATCGCGTTAGCCTTAGCTTATCCGTATTTGCACTTTTCTTAGATCTGCGATGTGCAATGTTCCGACAGTGCCTTGGCAAACACGCCCTGCCCCCACCGGGGCGTTCTCGCACCGATATTGGCACTGCCTGGGATGGTCGCTGAAAGTGCTGAGGACAACGCACATTTGCAACTCTGTTGCGCACCCTAAGTCGAGTTGCCACAGAGTGCCTCAAATGCTCCCTTCTCTACCGACGCGCGGCGACAGCCATCCGCCCACCTGTCCCCATGTGTGGCCGTCACTGACCTAGCTAGCGCGATCGAACATGATATCGGTTGAGCGCTTTGCCAACGCCCCTTCCAAATTTGCCACCACCGACTTTGCATCCGCCTATTTCTGTGCATCTCAACGGCCGAGCCTTGCGCATGTAGTCTCATGCTGCTGCCTGCTTTGCATGCTTGCTGCACTGCTGCGTCCCGTGCTGGATTTCCTAGTAGCACATCAACTGCTCCCACGCGGCCTCTCGCACAACACCACGCTACAATTCACATCATTTCTCGATACGCGCGTGCATCGCAAATGTGAATTGAAATGCCCGATACCCTTCCTTTAAATTATGGGAATGATGGGAAATTTCCCAGCACGAAGGCGATGGCGTTCATGAGGGCCACCTTGGGGAATATCTTCGTCAGGATCCTTTGATGTTTTGGGACCCTCATACCCTTCATGACTCCACTGTTGGGGTCGGGGTGTTTTGTCATGCATTGCATGGCCATGTGTAGCCCGCTGGAAACCTGGTGCAGTCTGAGGTTTGAGTTCTGTAGAGGCGCTTGCCGTGGCCAATGCGTCGCACCTTGGCATTGCCTTTCAGAATGCATTAATCACTCATTCACGCCTTTTGTACGGAAACGATCGGTATCGGAGGAGCCTCACGTGCACCCTGTTGCGCTGTCCATCCATGAATCACTCGGCCGCCGTGCCAGGGACCGCCTCTCAATTGCTATTTCCTCAGTATCAGGATCTGGGCGCTTTCCAGCTGATGCCTGTGGCCCAGAGGCTGCTCCAGCGTGCAAGGGTCCTTACCAAATGCGGTTGGCAGCCGCATTTCCGTAATTGATGGCGCTTGAACCATACAATGGTATATTGTTAGAGAAGCGGAGAATACAAATGATCACGCCATTATATAAAGGCACGTTATTTTACTATGAGGTGGCCGTATTGGGGGAGGCTGGCTTGCACAGTGGTTGTGAGCTGGACTGCATAGCATAGCGAATGTGCACTAAGGGGTACGCACTGCACGGTACCCATGCATTGGCGAGTGACGTACCAGTACATTGCACTGATGGCATAATGTCTTTCAAAGTGCGCAAATAGTAGTTTATCCAATACCACAGTCGTCAGAGTTGCTCTGTGGGATGCCCCATACCTTATTGCTTTCTGCCTCCCTGCTGGTGGGCACACGTCCGTCACAAAATGGCCGTCCTGGCTGACGATCAATAGACCAACGCTGACCTCCCTGGACATGTGGACGTTGATCTCACAATCGGTCCCAGCGATCAGGCACGGCGGCTCGATGAGGACGACGTCCGGTCGGCCGCACTGCGACATGGCTTGACTCTCCGAGTCCAACACTGGTGCAAAAGGTCATCATGAGCACGCCTGACTAATTTGACATAGCACATAATTGTACGCAATGTTACATGTTACTCCAAGATACCTGAAGCATGTTCTACAACAATCGAAACTTTTTAAGCTGCGCGTTTGCAACACAAGGTAAATCTTCTAAAACTAGCAGCACTGTGCAGCTATACAATTTTCAGAAATTTTGGGTATTTTTTAAAGCAGGGACAAGACATGCGAAATGTCAAACTCTTTCCATTTCAGAACTGTCCCAATCAAGTTGCTGACCGGAATAAAGCAGATGATCAGCGCTGCTCAATGTTCAGTGAACTAAGAGCTTCGCTGTGAACAATTTTTACACCATAAGACAGTCTTTTGCCCAAAGGGGTCTCATTCCCAGTGAGCCATTAAACCAATATACATACATAACTATACCTATATACATATACATATGTATTTTTTTAATTCTATTTTTTTAATTCCAATTTATTACACGAAAATGTAATGCATTCCAATGTATTACATGCTGATCTAAGCAAGGAGCTTCCCCGCAAATTGCGAAGCACAACGGGATCCTTTTCCAGCAGGAGCCCGCGCAAGGTCCCAAACAATGAGATACAGCGAAAGTATCAGTGTTCGATCAGCGTTCAGTATCCAGGCGGGGAAGTCCTAACCATCAGAGAGAAAACATTTATCCATTGATTGATTGACTTATGCCACTGCCCTCGGGTGAGTTGGACAGCCCGCGGCAATTTCTCTGCCTCGAAATCGGATACTTCCTGAATAAATGAAGCTTTTGATATCACAGCAAACAGCACAGCCATCGGCGCCAAGCGGGAGACAACACGAATCGACGAGCACCGCTCCAGGTGACGTGCCCTCCTATGCTCCACGCTCGTCCAAAACAAAATGGCTCTCACCCAAATGGAACCCTGAACATAGCGAAAATTTTTCGTGCCGTTGAAGGCAGCGTCAAAAAGCGTCTGTTCGGCACGGTGTGGAGCGTCAGTTCAAACCTGATGGATCGGATTGCCTTGTGGGAGAGTCCGCCAACACCCTGTGGCCTGGGTCCGAGCCGTAAGCCGACAATGGATGCGCAACTGGTAGGGGCAAGCTCCCAGCCAATACGTTGGTATGCGCATCTATGCGCAAGTGCAGAGAACATGCGCAGCCCAAGCGCCCTTGGAAAAGCCTTCCAACGCACGCTCCAACGCCTCAGGAGCAAGCGACAAGAGCCCCACGGCCACGGTGGTTGAGACCTAGCTCATTAGAGAAAAACAGCCCCTGACTGGTCCAGCCCCCTCAAATGCTCAAATTTGAACACATCCAACAACACCTCCCCCCCGGCCACACCGCCAGGCCCGTTCAGCGTGCGGGAACATGACACAATATCATGGTATAGCTGATGTACCATGGGACAAATCAACGTGCGGGCATCCCATCAAACGTGCTTCCCCTCACGTACAAGCGATGTGCAAATGATGAATACGGCACGCCCCTCGTCGCTCGCGGATGCAAGGTCAGCGTCCGCCACATTTTGACAAGCGCGCTCCCAGCGGATCTTCCTCTTCCCCCTCCCCTGCCCCTCCTCTCTTTTCAAGAGAGATGCAAGCTCGCATCCGAATCCAAATCCTCGCGGCGAAAACCCTTGCCATATTCCCTCAGAGGCCACCGTACGCCCACGGAAAGGGGGACAGACGCTGGTACTTGAAGTACAGGTCATGCAGCGCACGAGATGGCGCGTTGACGGGCCCCGCAGTACGCCCCTCACAGCCTTTTCACCGTGCCGTCAGCTAGACTGCCAGCCGCCGGGGCAGAAAGGACGGGGCCCCACGACGCACCCCACACACGTCAACCGTAGCCGTGACACGGTGCACGTACACGTGATGGCATCACGTCCCCAACACGGGGCGACTCGCCTGATGCTAGGGTCGCACCCCATGCCCGACAGTCGCGACGGCAGAAATAGTGACGGACGCCCCAGGGCGCTCAACCGCGACGGCCTGCATGCCTTGCCAAACCGCAGGCCCCCTGTTGCACGTACTTCGCCTCAAAAGCTGCGAAGCTCTCGGGCGCCAGTCGGGGCTCCTCTCGCCAAGTCGATGCGGTCCTGCGTCCCCCATGGGCAAGACACGTGGAGCCTCTGCCGCAGACTGCAGTTGCTCGAGGCGCAATCAAACGCCGAGGTCAAAATCGGAGGTGAAAACCAACGTCGAGACTATGTAAGTTGACCTTGTACCCGCTCCGTTCCCAGCTCTCGCAGAGGGTGGGCAATGGCCCATGTCGCAGCAAACAACAGCTAAACAAGCCACAGTCTAACCCTACAAACTGGCCCCAAGGCGAAGGAACCTGATCCGCACCCGATCGTGAATGGCTTCGGCAAGCAGCTCATGTCAAGAGGGGAACAAATGCACTCAGGCACGGGCGGGCAGCGACATGCGTCGCGGCAGACAGCAACTGAACGAGCCACAGTCTTCCTCTGCAAACCGCGAGAGGAGCCCACTGCTCACCCGATCGCGCGAATGGATACGGAAAGTTGCCCACGTCACGGGTGGAACGGGTCCGCTCGTGCGCGAACACCCATCCACATTTTAACAGCCGCGGAGTCGCGCCCGTCGCCGTGCAGCTGCAAGGAACCCGCGCTTTCAACCGCCACGCTCCCGGCGCTGGGCTGCTCAGTGCGTCTCCACGAACGCGACGGCTCGCCTCGCGCCATGCTCAAAACGACGCCCGCAAACCGGACCTGGCATCAAAATCTGCGCTGCGGCCGCGCGCTCTTCCAGGCGGTGTAGTCCAACATCCCGGACCCGCTCAAACAGCTCCCCCAACACTGACAAAGCCACGTGCCACCCAACTTCGAACGGCCTGTGCCACTCCCCCGCGCGCAGCGCGCCCCCGTCGCTAACGCGCTGCACGCGCTCCCCCTGGCCTGCACTCGTCCAACTGAGGTTGAGACGGGGCTGGGGAACACATTGTGAGACCCCTCCAAGTTTTTTTCAAGGTTTAGCCCACCCGCCGAATGGTTTTCCACCCCAGAAACGCCCTCGTCGGCCCCCCCACCCCCTGTCAGAGGGCCATCTGCAGTTCTCCATTCCGTGTATCCCATTCGGCAGCCTCTGCTCCCCCAAGCCCACCCCGTTTCCCAGCGAGGTCGCGAAGCGCCGCTCTCCCCTCCGTGCCACCTTCCACACCACAGATCCCGGCCCCAACGGCACGCCTGCGCCGCCAGCAACCCGCGCTGGCGGGTCCGAACTAGATTCGGGCGCGGTGCGGCCTCCCGGCGCTGAGCAGCCCAGTGCCCCCGGGGGGGCCCATCACCTGTCACAAGCCGTCGTACCTCCCGGTGAATGGTCCACGCTGGCGCGGTTGTCGACTCCCCACTCGCAACCCGCCCTTTGCCAAGCTCCCGCGCCTTCCCCTCCGATTCCGCATCCCGGTGCCGATCCGTGCCCGCTCCATCCCATGCGCGCCAATCCATCCCAGTCGCCATCCTCACAATCCTTCCTTCCGACGTCACTCGCCGCCATCCGCGTCATGCCGCGAACTCCGTCGCGGGGTGTTCAACGTTGCACCTTTTTCGCCGAGGGCTGACCTCTGGAGCGGCAGCGAGGGCCCAGGGGACCGCGGAGAGGCGCGGCGCCGCGTGCCCGGTGCTGCGCTCGCGTCCTTGGCTGGCATAAGGGCAGCCGGCGGAACGGGGGTTGGGGGAAGGAGGCGGTGCACGGTACACTTTCGGGGCCTCTGCGGTACGGGTGTAGTAATGTATGCTGGGGTGACGAGGATTGATCCCCCTCCACGGGTCTGCGCCAGTAGTCCATCCCAGGGCGCACACGCGTCTTGCTGCCGTTGTTGCTGCTGTTGCCTGTGGTGCCTTCCAATGGCGCTTGATGGAAACGATGGTAGATTGATTGATGGGTTGATTGATGGTGTACTGTGTTGCGCCGCTCGCACGGATGCATGTTGCCGGGTCGCGTGGCGTTTACGGCGCCGCTTGGGTGGTCGTGTTCAGGAGGTGTGTGGATCGCATGCGGCGCATGCTAGCCGATGGGCATCCGCGCCGCGCGCTGCTATGGTGCATGGGAGGGCCCGAGTAAGCCGGCGCTGCTGTGTCCAAGAAAGGAAAGATCAAAAGCTTTTTGGAAGTGGGCTGAGAGAAACTGTGGTGAAAAAGCTTGGTGTGAGAGCGAGGGGGCGAGGGAAAATTGGAAGGCAAGGGAGGCGTGAAACAATTACGTTTTTATCCTGTTGCACTCATAGGAATTCCTACTGCATTTCCTGCAGTTGTGAAACAAAATTGTATTGGGATGTCATGGGCACGTTCCTGGGGCCCAAATGAGCTGCTCAAACGCACAATTTGGTGCCTCACAAGACGTTTGGTCACGTTTAGGCTCTTTTCTCAAAAACGTTTTCGTGTGGCTGTTTGGATTGCTCTTGACGGACCACTAAGCTGGCTCTGTCAATTACCGATTTGTGATCTGGTGATGGAAATTCAATGATGATGCTCGGAAGTATCAGTGAATACTTCTTTTTGCTGGCTCGTGGGCCACGTCTGCGGCACCCCCAGGCACGTGTAGGTGCAGGTGGATGCCGGCCGCTGGTGGGCCACCAACACACGCCAAGAAACGCACGGATGGTTCAGCCGGCCAACCTGCGAGGCCTAACCCAAAGGTTGGGCACAACAGATGCCACAAACGGCGGGGTTGGGAGGTAGATAGTTGCCTCCCACTCCTGCGCTAATGCTCCTTGCGGTCACCGATTGGCGCCACCCGCGGGTGCCCTGATCGGCACCCGCGAGTGGCATCAATCGGCACCCACAGGGGGCGACTGCGTGCTGCGAACTACGGCCTGTTTGTGCCCAACGCTTGGGCGCAGAACAACCACAAAACGGCGAGAGTGCGAGGCCGAACGTCGCCTCCCACTTCTGCCATTTTTGCCCCTCGTGGCCACAGATTGGTGCCACCTGCGGGTGCCTAGATTGGCACACGCGGATGGCGTGATTCGGCGCCCGCGCCCACGAGGGGGGATACCAAAGGTAAACTGCGACCTGCACGGCGTCCATAGCGTGGGCGCAAAACCCCGCCACGGGACGGCGAGAAGGGGATGCTGCTCGTCGCCTTCCACTGCCACCATTCTTTCCCCTCGTGGCCACCGATTGGTGCCAGCGGCGGGTGCCCGGAATGGCACCCGCGAATGCCACCATTTTGCGCCTGCAAGGAGCCAAAGTGGGCATCACGCTTTGCAGATCATAGACGGAGATCCGCCGCGGATCTCGGGCCTCCCTGGGAAGACTCGCTGCCGCTGCCCTTTGACGGTAGTTCCGCGAACTACCAAGCCACCAAAAGGGACAGACGGAATTCAGCCCCTTGGGGAGACTCGCGGTCCGTTTGTGAGTCCACAAATAGCGGACCCGACTGCCACCCGCCCGGCCACCGCCTCTTTGCCTTTGTGGGCGACACCCAATCCCCGCCGGGCCACAGGTCGTTCGCCACGGCACCCTTCCGTCGGTTTTGACCTCGCTTTGCGCCGTGCATGGCGGGCTTGCCTGCCCTGCTTCCCGTATTGTGGCGGCCTCTGCCTCGTGAAGCCTTCCGGCGGGCGGGACCCCGTTTCACTCGTCGGCGTGCCGCCCAAGGGGCCGACCACATGCAGGTCACACGTTAGTCAGAGCCACTGTCGAAGCAAAGAACGGTTCGGGCATTGTCGCAGAAATGAGCAACGTTGCAGCAATAACGAGCGACATTGTCGCAATAAACAATATGTTCCAGAAACGAACAATTTCACTGTTGCAAAAAGAGTAGTGATCGAAAATATCCCTAGTGGTGAAATTTTATCAACAACATAATTGAATGGCGGTCATTTTTGCCCAGTGTTGCACTTGCAGCTTTCGAATTTGTACAACAGGAGGTCGGTGGCAACACCCAGATGTGCTCTGAAATTCAACAAGAGAAATGCAAAAGAACTGCGAGTCACATTGAAGAGATGAGAGTCTGGCATCAAGAGAATCACAGTTGTCAGCCATCCACATGCCTGTTGACATATGATGCACTCTACTAGCCCATCGAGATGGTGAGAGAACAGCTGCTCAAAAGACCAGCTTCAATTTTACTCATTAGGACTTGTGAGCGGCTGTGAATGCACGCTGAGGGTCGGTGCTGTGGGCTGGTGTGGCGGGATAGAAAACCTGTTTCGCATTACTGGAGTGTAAGTTGAGTCTTCCGTTCTGAGTATGAATTCTTGTGGGCGAAAAGAGAGGAGTACCCTGGTATTTAAAGAGAGCCCGAGTTCCGCCGGTGGCTTCTTGTGATTTGTTTGCAGGACAAGTTAAATTGAGTCTCAGCTGCCTGTCGGACGAAGCCGTCGAGTGCGTTTGAGCACCACGTGGTCGAACCAAAGCGTCTGACCTGTGTTGTGAAGTTGTGATCGACGGCTTCTGCCTGTGCCGTCCTGTGGTCCATCCCTGCGCACATTCGATTGCGACAGAAGCACATCGAACCGGGATGGCTAAGGAACTTTGACAGTGACCGGTATGGTTATTTGCACATGTTCCTAAACTGCTCACACAGACGCATGACCACGTGCGGCACGCACCAATGCTGGACTCATCCTCAGCCATATTTCTAAGTTCGGTACTCCCATCGACATGCACATGCATGCACAAAGGGCTAGGGAGCTTGAGGGCTCTGACATGCTCAGCGTGCCCTTAGCAGGGAATATGTGCTAGGACTTTTTCTGGCGTGTCTAATACCTTGTGACACATGTGTGGTGAGCTATTGTGATAGCTACAACCATGGTTAACCATGGTTGAGCCAACGTTGGCTGCACAAGTCACTCTGGGTGTGGTTGTTAAATTCACAGAATCAAAGCGAAATTAATTCCAGTGATGGTTGACGAGATCTTCAGTGGGCAATGGCGTTGTGAATGAAGAGAACGTCTTGCCGGCATAGGTCATGCCTCGTGTCGGAATCATCATCGCATTCCTTCGATAGCATTCGTCACGAAAGATAAAGCATGGCCCTTGAACATAACAGGCGATCACGGGTGTCCTAGCGACACAGTAGTTTTGGAATCTTTGGTTTGGGACCAAGGACAGCACCAGGGACAGGAGTCCTCTCATCGGCCCTTAGACCCCAGAAGCGATTGGTCAATGAAGCTAACAGCGAGGGACACAAGGTTCAAACAGCAAATATTACAAAACACTCTTTCCGCTCGCAAATTTCCATGGTTGCAACGTGCTCATCGGCACGTAGGATTTCAACATGCACCCCAGTTTCGAAAGAATAAAGAATCACTCCAGCACAGGCTGGATCTCTGTGCTGGGTAAGGCGTGACAAGTCCACAAGTCACACCCACCACAGCCAACATCCCCATCCACATCCGTTCGCCCATGCTCAGCAATCAATAATGGTCTCAATGAAAAATGCTTCCGATCATCCAACATGTGCAAGGCATGTCCCGCCTTACGAGTCGGTGGGCAACCTCCCATAACTCCAGCCCGCCCCACGTTGCCCTCGATGGCACTGACGAGAAAGGCGAAAAGCCATGCAAAAAAAATCCCTGACAAAAGACCGCCTTGAGGCTGAACGAATCCATTACCTTGTGTCCGGCACTGGCAGCCCATTGTTCATCTGCCATGTAGCAGCATGACGAAGCCTCAATAACATGGCACATATCCTGGTCACAGAGCACTACTTGCTCTCACAGGCTTTAAACCTACAGAAGCACAAGGAACAGAAGCGCTTGACACTGGGCACTAGAGCTCGGACTCCAAGTGACTAAAAGCAGCTGAAGAGCCAAAGCGAACAAACCGTACTGGCTCCACAAAGCTCAGTCGCATCTTCCAATCGCCGGAACGTACGTTAATCCCCATTCTTTCGTTCAAATCCCAGCCATTTCAGCAGTTTGGGTTCGCAGTCCAGGCCGCACGCCAGGGTCAAGGGCCTGGCCCTGAAGCCTAGCCGCTGATGGGCTCCAGAAGGACCAGGCCCCCGTCGATCCAGGTGCGCGGCAGCTGATCCACTGGGTCAAGCGCATCCTCCTCCACCTCGCTGCGCTCCACCTCGCCCACCACCAGCACCGCTCCGTGCCCTATCGCCAGGTAGTCCCGCCGCAACCTCTCCGGCTCAACATCCTCCTCCAAAAGGGCGAAGGGGCCCAAGGTCACTGGCACACCGGATGCTAAACATGCCTTGAGCAGGAAGGACGCCAGCCACCACCGCTCGTTGTCCAGCAGGTAGACGAGCGTGGGCACGCACGCGTCGTGGGCCTCGCTGGCGCCGTCCGCCAGCCCCTTAAGCAAATCTGCCAGGTGCAGGCACAGGGGCCTAAAGTAGCGGTTCCAAACCGCCACCTTGAGCGGGGCCGGTCCTGCTGGCCCAAAAGACGGTCCCATTGGCCCAGAAGAGGGTCCCTCGGGCCCAGGGGAGTGCTCCAGTAATTTAGGAGGTCGGGGAAGGTGTTCGTGGTCGGATGGGCGCGTGGGGTGCACGGGGTGCCGGTGGAGGAGGTCTGCGGTCATGAGGGCGTCACGCGTGTCGACTGCGGTGAGCATCATGGCGAAGAGGCGGCGTAAGTCGTTCGAGGCGGCCTCGGGGAGGACGAGGAGGAAGGGCTCCGGCGGCGTGGGCGGGATCCTGGGGCCCTCCACAGCCACGGAGAGGCTAGTGGTGCTCACCGGCGGCAGGACGAGCCTGTGCAGTGTAAAAGGGGAACGGGCTGTCGGTATGCAACGTCAACAGGGGTACATAGGTTTTTCTCCTATTTTTCCTTCATCTCCCGGTAACGTCTTCACGTGAATGACCACAAAGGGGGGTGATACCTAGGCACTCTGTGGCATCCCAATTTCATATCTTTCCGAGCAGAGATACAGAATAATTGAATACACTGTCAGCCATGCGCTGGGTGTATCACTTGGGTTCCAGATGTACAATGACAAACCCAAAGGTTGTATTGGGCACACCAGATGATTCTCCTACAACGAAAGTAGGATGCCAACAATTGGGCATGGAAAATGCACTCCCTGCTTGAGAACTTAGGATACTCCAGTACGATGATAAATGACATAGAAGTCTCCGGTTGCAAAGGAAGCACACAATCTGTTGAATCTTCATGGACAAAGATTGCCAAGCATATTGTTTCTTCCATGTGTCAAACCACTGCCCGTTCGCCTGCTAGGTGGGGCCAGACAGTGTGCTGCTGCCTCCATGCATAGGCTGGCTACATATCTACCTGCACAAATTGTGGTTACGCTACATTTTTTTGTGCCTGTAAGGCAACGAAGGTGGACAATGGTTGGCCTGTCCGTTCCAAATTATGTACTGGTTGATTGATGGATAGAACAATTATGGCATTTCCACAAACAAGGCAGGGTGCCGCTGACATTTTCTGACACAAGATTCCAAGAGGACCTATAAGGCAATCCATCGCCCTGCACTGTGATTTTGAGGTGGCCTTCGAATCACATATCTTCTTCTTGGCAACAAACGAAAAAATATGCAGGCTTCAGAGCTTCCAAGTTTCTCATATAGGCTTGGATCGATTCCCTGTGGTGGCACACCAGGCAGGAATTTTAAGCCCTGAGAATGATGTACACTGAGCTTTTGGCTTCAGCAATGGCTAGGGTCAGGCAAGCAAAACAACTTTCATGGCACCAAACACTTTTAGGCTCCTCACCTCCAAATTCTCCCTTCTTGGGCCGTCAATGGGGCTGTCACCACGAGGTCATCCTCTCCCCTGAGCACAACTTGTTGCCCATCTGCACACGCCACCTCCCTCGACAGGTGGATCTCAACCTCGCAGTCCTGCCCTTCCACCAGGCAGGCAGGTTCCACAAGCACAACGGCTGGCATGCTCAGCATCGCAATCTCGTTTTGTTCCATCATTCCTGCATACACGAGCTTCATGGATTAGATTGTGCACGCAGGACAGCACAATTGTTTTACTTTGTGGGATGTCACGCCCATTGGGGGTATCAAATGGCTTGTATGGGTGACTGGGACATTTGCAGGGGTGGCAGATGACACTTAGGAATTGCTTCTCTTGAAGGCGGAAACCTTCAACGCACAGATCGAAGCAATTGAAGCAGTGGTCCCACATTCGAATGTCGGCCTTGCGGCTGCCACCCCAGTTTGGGTCTCTCCACCAGCTCACAAGTTCTGAGCCTTGCAGGCTCCCATTGAGTCCATATGTCGAAACGCAGCACGTCTTTCGCCAGGCGCTGACGGGATTTGGCGAGGCTGTCGAAAAACAACTTGAAGGATTCGGTGTGTGTCGTCAAGTGCGTTCGTGACACCTGTTGCACCGAATCTTTCCACCACCACAACCACATTTAGGAAGCAGGCCTGGAAAGCGGAATGGGGCCATTCAAAGCCGAAGGTCCTGCCATTTCGCGGGGCGTCCTTCCGCACCCGGCATTCGCATCGAATCGGATTCGGCCCAGCCGCATTTGGCATGAAATTAGTCGCTTTGTACTTCCTTGCAGATCCCTTCTTGTTTCGGACACCTTAAGCCCTAAACCACTGACCCACTGACAGGCGTTGGCCTTGCCAGCGGCTGGAGATGGAGTCCTCATGGAAAAGAGGTACCGATGTATATTCTAGCAGTATCCTCCCGCCAACACATGATGACAAAGCCAATTCGATTCGATGACGCTGCGAATCAACCACCTGGACGCGGCACAACGCCGACCCAAACTTGGCCCCGCTGCCGCCGCGCGGCGCACGCCCGGAACTCTCCCCAACTTGAAAAAGGCGCCGACGGGCACCCAAGCCCAAGCACCACCCACCCCCTATACGCAATGCGCATGCCGCCAGGGCCGCGGCCAGCGACGCCCTCCGGCGCGCCCCGACCGTCCCCAACAGGCCAGCCGCTCAAACAACGCCATCCTCCCTGGTGCGCCGCGGCAACCGAAGCGCCAAGCTTGGAATTCCGCATCTCTCGAAGGATGCCCTTGCCGATAGCAATTCTCATGGGGTACATCCCTCCCGAGGAGAGCCTCACGTGTGCACATACGCAGCGCTCCTCACCTACTGGTAGTTTCGCAGATGTCCTGCAGAGTTGCCGACCTTTGTTCTGGAAATCGATCGGCTCCGCCGCGCTCAGAGCTGCCCAGGTCGCTGCGGCGCCGCTGCACCGGCTGTCGACGGGTGAGTGGATCTCTCCCGGCCGCTGAGAAATATCGCCGGCGTATCAACGGCTGCTGGTGCGCGGCCTTGACGGGCATCAAAAGCGCTACAACCTGGCGTCGGCTCCCGCCTACTATGTAGTGGGGTGGTAGGTTCGTCTGCCAGTAGGTTAGGGGCGGCCCGCCGAATCGGATACTTTTGCTGGGCGACGGGCCATCCAAAGGGCGGGGGACTGGGAAAGTGGGCACCCGAGGTTGCCACTTGGCGGGCCCAACGGCGTCCTTGCGGATGTGCTAATGCAGAGTTCACCCCGCTACCCCCCCCTTCGTTGTCCGCTGGCAACAGAATGAAAGAAAACACTTCTGGCCTGCCGCGCACTGTGCTCAGCGCCTGTGGCGTGGATCGCGAGAAGATTGGTGCGAGGCTTTGCCAGCGAGGCAACGAGGCGCGCGTGGCAGAGTTGCCTGCCAGGCCAGAGAGCCGCAAGGAAGGGAACTGAGGGCTGGCCAGAAACTCCTCACGGCGGCCATCCGCCCAATGGCGAAGAAAAAGGGGGGAGGGGACAGTACTCAGTGACCGTCGGGATGCAACCTGCCAACGCCCACGGGTCCGTGCTGTCCCTTAAACCCGTTGCCGCTGCAGTACTCTGCGGCTAGTCGGCGGAAGGGCCGCGCCCCCAAGCATGGCTTCCCGCCCTCTGAGCTGCACCTGCTGCTGGCGAAGCACAAATCTGCCGCCTCAATCACGCAGAAGCAATCCAGCAGGAGGTGCGGTGCCCCATTGGGGGCGAACATCGATCTCTTACTCCTCGGCACCTAGCTCGCGAGCTGGTACCTGAGGACGGTCCTCCCACGGCCGCTTGCTAAAATGTGGGGCGAGCTGTTGGTGATCGAAGTTGCATTTGACGACAAGAAATCAGACAGTTCTCGCCCACGCTGGAGGCACTCGCGGGTAGGTGCAATGAGGCTCGCTCCGCTGAAAGCTGCAGAGCGCAGAGGACCCCCAGGGGGATGGCCTTCAGCAGGCGGCAGCGGCGTTGCATGGGCCAGGATGGTTTACACACAGCCCTGGATACTGCTGACTCGGCGGTGTACATTGGGTCTGCTTCCCCTGCCTCGGATGATGTGAGGCGCCATGAAATCCAGTCGCTCTGTCTTTTCCGTGAAGATCCCTTCTTGTTTCGACACCATGAACACCAAACCACTGACCCGCTGACCCACTGACCCACGTTGGCCTTGTCAGCGAAAGAAGAAGGGATCCTCACGGAAACGACAGAGGGGGCAAACACATTCTCATGTTTGGCCCAGATTCATGGCGCCAGCGGTACTGCCAGGTCAGAGCGGTGGTGGTGGAGGCTGGTATGGTCCCAGTGATCTATGTTGCTCTACGACTTGTTGGCACAGGCTCGGGACCGCGATGGGACCGCCGTTTGCAGGGAGCTACTGTTGGTTGGGTTAAGGGGAAATGTTTCATTTCCCCTTACTGGTGGCTTTAACACTTTCTAGCGAGTGCGCGGTTGTTATGACTTTCAACCACTCCATATCAATGCAATGAAGGCAGGAACCACGTCGACTTGTGGATTATGTTAGGAATGTGATGTGGTGGGCAGAATGCTAAAGGCCGGGACCGGCTCTCTGCTGTCCCCATCCGTTGCTCAAGACCAGATCGCCAGATCGGATCATCGGCCTCTTTTCTCAGGGCGAGTCTGGTCAGCAAGCGGTGAGACGTTCTGGTCCTTGGAGCCAATTGAGACCCATTCATTTGCTCGTTACATAAGATCCAGTATAACTCACATTTTGAAATGGGAGCCAGCACCCACACCTATCCACCATTCCCACTTTCATATTGTCGCTATCTAAAATAAAAAGTCCACTACCGCTGGGTCCCCCCCCAGCACCTCGTGAGCTGCCCACCGGGACCGGTGGCCCGGCGGCCAGCCCGGACTGGCCCCGCTACCACCGGACGATCCGGTGCAGCAGCTCCGAGCGAGTCCCTGAAGCGAACGCGGCATACAAAAAAGAGCGAAGCGCGAGTCATCCCCTGAAGCCTCGTTCAGTGTGACCCCCCCCTCCCCGCGACGCCTTGTTTTCCACGTCCTGAGAAGGCAAGACACCACTACCGCTGGGTCCCCCCCCAGCGCCTCGTGAGTGGCCCACCGGGCCCAGTGGCCCGGCAGTCAGACCCCCCTGACCCCGCGGCCATTGGACGTTCCAGTGCGGCCACTCCGGGCGAGTCACTAACGCTTGTGCGTGAAACGAAAAGAAAGACGCCCTGTCGAGTAATTGCCTGCAGTCTCGTGCGCCGCATCCCCAGGTGTGCATGGGGCTGGGTGGGTGGGAAGCCAAAAGATTGCCACGAGAATGGTGTCAGCCAGAGTGGAAGCACCTTTTTTCTCAAGTAGGCTGGGCCCAGGCGGGGCACGTGCGAGGCCACCGCACACGGCAAGGGAAATGATCCCTCCGAGAACGGTATCAACCAGAGTAAGAGCACCTGTTCACAAGGAGGCGTAGGATTCGCCTGGTTCGCACGCCTGTGAGGCAGACGGATCCATCAAAAGCCGTCCCAATCCCAATTGGCAACCGGGCGCGGGGTGGAACGCACAGCCTACGCAACGGCGAGTTCGCTGGCGCAGATCGATGAGCAGGGCGGCAGCATAGCTGGCTGCAGGCCTGGCAGCAAGCCTGTTGCTCACGCTGACCCTCTTTTGGCCATCCCAAGGGAGCCCAGCCTCATGGCCACAGGGATGCACAATCTTATTCCTAAACGCGCCCCCTTGCCAGCCCTGTCATCGCCAACCGCCCACACTTGCCTCAAAGGTTTGCGCTCTGGCATCACGACGCCCCCGCCACATGATGCGTGGCCAATCAATCGCCGTTGTGATCAGGTGGGCATCCTCGAGCGGCAACCCTGCAGACCCGCGCAAGCAAAAAGGCGAAGAGCAGAACCACCGCAAGCAGGCGGGGGTTGCCAAGTGCGCATGCCTGGTGCTGTGCCCCTTGGCCTTAATATAGCTATTGTGGAGGCATTGGCCCTGAAGCTGCAGGGTGGCTTCTCCTAATGGATTAGTCCGCGGATTCGTTTTTTGTCCGTGTTGCGCACAAACAGCGTGAGGGAGAGATATGGCTTATCTTGGCAAGTCCCAGATCTCCCCAGATGCGCCTTTTAGAGATTGAGACTGGTGAGGCGTACGTTAGTAAGCGCGGCTTGCAGTGCGTCGAGTCAGGCGTGTCCGCTGCAAGTATTATGCAAAAATTAACTAACGATTTGTATTTTTAGCGCTCGCTTTGCGACGGGTTGCAACTGCCAAGGAGTGTCGCTGTTCTGCTCAAGCCACTCCAGAACACCAGCCCTTTATCACTCAGGCCACTGACCAAGCAAGGCACTGCGAACAGGGCCAGCCTGAGCACATGCTGTGAAAGTGTTAAGCCCATTGATTACTTACATACTCATCAACTGAATCGCTTACTACTCAACGCATCGATCGACTGGATGAAGGTGCACATCAGCGCACACCGTTAGCAACATGCATGGTGCACGGTGGTGGGCATGTGCATCTGTGTGTGCCAGCCGTCTCAGAAAGAAGCAGAATATTCGCTGACGCGCGGTTTGAACACACTTCCAGCCAAGGTTCCGGCAGCACGAGCTTCTCGCAGGACTATTTGTTACAGAGAGGTCAACATCGTCCACCCATGTTCACAAAGACGTCCTTCCACAGAGGCGCAGGCACATTCACCATTCCATGATGTACAAAAGTTCGTTTCCCGGATTTTGTTGTACAGCTTGCAACAGCAGATGACAGTGAAAAATATCACAAGTGTATCAATGAGAAGAGAAAATCGGTCACGCCAAGCCCCAACAGACGGGACACGCCGCCGCATTGGCCAAACCCGCCACATCAATTCCAACTATCAAATCCTGCCATCCCTCTCCCCACTGTTTTAACACGCAAAGGGCCCGGGATGGTGAATCATGAAATCAGCAACGCCCTGTCTCAACTTGGAGACGTCGTGCTCCCAAAGCCCCCAAATTCGAATCCCAAACATCTCAAACACCACAAACCACGGCACCACTGGGCAGGCGTGCCGCGGCAGACAAAAACAAAGCGCGGTGCAAAATGAACTATATGAGAGAGTATCGTTTGTCCCTTTCAATGCGACACTTCCAATTCGTTGCCGGAATCCGGCAAGCCGTCGACATGAGCCGGGGAAAGACGTTCGAGGGAAAAAGCAGCTTGTGACCATCATTGATTTTTGTAGCTTGCTAATTATCTCGCAGTTCCTGCAATAACTGGCGCTGCCTAGCAAAACCAGCGCGGTCCACTCAAAAACTTTCGATTCTGATGGCGCCCGCTCTCTACGACGAGGCGGCGGTGTTGCCGGCGAAGTGGCCGCTCTCCAGCGGGCTGCCCGAGTTTGACCCGCACGTGTGCAGCCCGCGTATGGCGCCCACAGAGACTCCCCTTTCCTCCACCCCTCCCGCGCCCTCCCCCACGCACAGCCCCTCAGCCCGGCTGGCCATCGCCAGGAAATCGGCCTTCAGCCTGTGCGCCTCCACGTCCACCGCCGACAGGGCGAAGGGCCCCAAGGTGACAGGCACGCCGTGCGCCAGGCAGCTGGTCAGGAGGAAAGAGGCCGTGTTCCAGAGGCGGGCCTGCAGGAGGTACATGACCATGGGCACGCACGCGCCGTGGGAGTCGGAGTTGCCGGCTGAGAGGCCCTCCAGGAGGGCGGCAAAATCCGCGATGAAAGGCTGGAGGTGGGACGCCCAGACGGCCTCCCTGAGGGGCGTGTCGCCCTCCAGCCACTGTCGACTCGAGCCCCCCCTTCCCATCCATGCCTGCGGCGCACAGGAACAGACTGCACACTTCGCGACCGTGTGTTTTTGCGTTGGTGCATTCACTTTGGTAATTGTCAAAAACAGTATTGATGGCGGAACAGAGATCCCCATGTCGAATTTCGTTCAATTTGTTGCACTTGGTCTATTCCGCAGTGAATCAATGCAACTTAAACTGACGCGCCGGCCAGAAAGGCCACGTTTCTAAACATTCACAGGCGCCCCCCCTTCGTACATACCCCGCACCACACACACTCACGATTCCGTGCATCTCGTTCGTCCCGGGATGCATTTGTTGGTACAAAAATCTGCGCACATTAGACTATGGCCTGCCCGCGGCATTCGAAAACCAGAAAGGCGTATCTATAGTCAAACCCATTTTGCTTCATTAGAACAAACATAGAAACAAATGTGATTTATTTTGATTGCTGATATGCCAGGCGCACCCGGAGCGCCAAATTTTCTCTTTTTCTTTCTTGAGACCTAGCATTCTCTGAACTCGAAAATTTTTGGGTCGGTACACAGCTTTGAACTCTTCCACTTAATGGCACAAGGCTCACGACGGGGACACTACGGTGACACGACGGGGGAAGGCACCTGGACACTGAAATGTGGTTCAATGTACTGGAATCCAAAATACATCCGCACATTTTGCCGCGCCGCAACTCACCGGCTGTGGAGGCGGATCGCAGCCGGCAGGGACGTACAGCAGCTCCGAAGGCGAGTCCGCGTAGCTCGCCATCATGTCGCTCAGCATCCGTGAGAAAAGCTCGCACACCTCCTCTGCGGCTTCCGCGGGGAGGGACAGCATGCAGGGCGCTTTCGAGTCAGGCTCCTCGGCGACGCCCGTGATGGTGACGTACACTCCGCAGCTGCCGATTGGAGGCAGGTCGAGACTGTCGGGCACGGAGGGGGAAACATGGGTCACGTGGATGCCCGGTTTCTGACACCGGCTGCGCGCAGTGTAAGTTGCAATTGAGGGTATCGTCGAATGCGCCATTGCATGTTATCTGTTCGTGCTTCCGGCTTTTGCTTCGTCATAAAGCCAGTGTAATTGCAACGAGGACGCGCATTCCTGCTTCGAACAATCGAATTGAATTTAATTTGTTTTGAGGCCGTCTTTAATATATTTGACGCTGGATTGAAGCTAACGCCACTCACAGTTTCTGTCTGGTTCCAGGCCAGCCCAAATTGCCTGGCAGCTAAAGAAAAAGCCGTCCATGCAAAATGCAACTCCGTGCAACTACATTTCCCGAAAGATACACAATGTGCCACGGCGCAGTGAGAGTGGAATCCGTGCATGAAGCGGATGAAGTGTACAGTCTGAACAATGCACCTGGTGCCACCCGTCACTGGTGCGTCTGGAATAGATTAACAAACGATCTGTAACAGGAGTTGAATACTGATAAGAACTAAGTATATCAATAAGGATGACAAAAACTGTAATGTGGTAGTAGCGAAGATTCGACAAGCCTCTTTCTCCCTTGACTTTTGCCACAGTGTTCAAAGGGAAGGCGCAAACCTGAGCGTCTTGCCCATGGCCGGCGACAACGGTGCGTTGGCCACAAGCTCGCCATCAGACGCAACCACCACCTCGTGGGAGTTGGCCAGGGGCACCGGCCGACTGAGGTGGATGGCGACCTCGCTGTCTTTCCCGGACACCACGCAGGGTGGCTCGATGAGCACCACCCCCAGGGTCTCTTGGCTTCCTTGCGACGCGGCGGACATCCCTGCAGGGCCGACGAAAGAGAATTGAGAAGGGCAAGATGTGGAGGAAGGAGGATCAAAGAAGAAGCTTCAGGAGGGAAGAATGTGACTGCAGCGTTGTCGCAGAAAGGACAGGGGAAGTTGGTAACGGGGAAAACGTGGGGATTGCCGATCGTTTTGGCGCTTTCCTTGATCATGAGATGCCACACATTTGCATCACTTCGGTGGGAATGGCGAGTGGCTCGGCTCCAGACGAATGGAATGACGCCTTCTGACTGTACACAACTAAGTACTGCTTACACCATACTTCTTCCGTCCAAGACTAATTGTCGTCCATGACTTCGGGGCATTACTCACCCATCGTACCGGCATCAATATTCAGTCAAACTTCACCCCAAAGTTGTGCTTGTAAGTTGTGAGCGCACTTCTAAAATTTCAAGCTAGTCCATTAAGTACCAAGGATTTGGCAGTACTTTGCATCAAATGGTCTTTTACCTAGGGAATCTTGATGTCGGGGGGGGATGACCAAAAATTACCTTTCGGCTACCGCTCAGAGGGGTATTGTCTCAATTTCTCTTCTTGAAAATCGGTAGTTAATGGTTTTGGAACCCAATCTTTCCGATTTTGAACTTGTTGTGTAATTTGCAAGCCGTCCTTGTAACGAATTTTGTCTTTCCGATTGACGACAATCAATCTTGGTCCGAGGAAGTGCATGCTTTATGTATGTAGCAATAGTACCACACAATGCCTGTAGTAACACGCGGCATGGCAATCTCTCAGCGCTCCCATGTTCAATTGGCCTCTTCACCTGTCCCAACCTCGCTGCATGTCTCAATTAGTCAACCAATCAATCATAACGTTCTAATATGAAGGTGCATGGGACGCCGCTTGTGCGATGCCACCCGTCCCAAGGCCATAGGTTTGTGCTTTAGGGGAATGCGTGGGACGCCCATAACCGCCCCGAGGTCCAAAATATCGCAATGAACCAGTGACCACCATTCGCTCCTGAAAGGGGCGTCACGGGCGTTCGCGCAATCGATTCATGCACACCGGTTTGCTCTGGGAAATAAGGGAGCTGGAAGTCGATTCCTTGCGTCGATTTGTGCAATAAGATCACAGCCACATCGTCGAATGGCCCACAACAATAACGTGCCCCGTTGCCTCGTTTCGAAGCAACTCATGCTGCTTGAAAGCGACATACCAAGAGCGCACCACAAGCAGTTCCTCTCGATCGGCAGCAAGACGAACAGAGCCCAAAGCACATCGCACACTGTCAAAGCGCCCTCGAACCTCAAGCCCAAGTACCCTGGTACGAAGATCCCTCCACCGGCAAGCCTCCAGTGTTGTAGGTGCCCACCAGCCCGATGGCCGCCCTCCCTATTTGGCCACGAACGGCGGACCGAATTTGCAAGCTGCAGGCCAACCCACCCCCTCCCAGCACCGCACAACGCGCCCCGCCACCCAAAGTACCCCGGCCGCCCCGTTCGCCCCAAACCGCCAAAAGGGCCACATAACCACAAAGAACATCGCGGTGCAGTGCACGCCTGTGAGTCGCTGCAAACAAACCGCAACAAGAGAACACGATCATGACCACAAAGGACAGCACGGTACAGCGCACCCTCGCTGGTCGCCACAAACTGCCAAAGAATGCGCACACGACCGCGAAAAATAGCACGGTACGGCGCACCCTTGCGGGTCGCCATAAACCGCCGGAAAGTACGCACGTCGTAACCACTGCACAGAGGGCCACAGCAAGCGCAAGGGCCGCGCCCGCCAGCCGCAGTGGCCTCCCGGCGAAGCCGCCACGCCGCTGAGCGGGAGTGACAGCACGTCTCCACCACGGAAGACAACTTTGGCGCAAGAACGCCCCGCGCACGGCAGTACTATGGGCGACCCCCCGTCCACGTGTCGGGCGCTGGCGGCCGCAGTCCCAACCATGCGAGCGTGACTGATTGGGGCGGTACGTGCAGCGAAGGGAAGGCGGCTTCGACTACGGGTAAGAGACGCCAGCCTCGCCCACCCCCACTTCCCCCTTCCCGCCGTTGCCACCGCGGACACTTGCTCTCGATGCGCCACGGTTGATGTGGCGGTCCCAAGTGGTTTCGCATCGCTCGCCCCGGTTCAAAGTCCTCCGCGGCACAGGTCGACGTCCAGAGTGCGCGCCCCCCCGACGCTCGGCGCCAATCGAACGTCGCCGCATCGCAGGTGGTACGCGGGCACGCACGATCGACTCTACGCCCCCCGCGCTGCGCAGGCGCCGAGACATGCCTCCAACGGAGAAGTGCTCACACCATGGCTTCGTGGTCACCAGTGCGCCTGCTCCCCTCTCCTCTCCTCAGCTGCCAGGGCTGCGGCAGCCCGAAAGCGAAACGGCTTCATGGCACCTACCCGCCCGCAGCCCATCCTTCCTAGGCGGCCGTCGATCGGTCCTAGGTCGCTTTCTTGCCGACTGAGAGCCAAACTTCCCCTCTTCCCTTTGGGCCAAGCAGCAATCCCCGCCTGATTCAAGGGAATTCATCGACGCGCTCTACCCTCCCCCTGCACGCAGGGGCGTTTTCTGCACCCGCCCTGCGCCGTTCCCCTGCAATTTCGGACACCCCATTCCGCCCCGCCGCGCGCGGCCACCCGCCAGCCCCTCTCGCCCAGCCCTCACCTCAGGAGCACGGTGCAAAGCCCGTGATGGAGGGGGCGCCGGCTGTGGGCCCAGCTCAAGTCGGCACTACCCCCCCCATCCGCACATGCATTGTGGTAGGCTTGCGGCCTGCCGGAACGCTGCGCACCGCGCAGTGCGAGCCCCAAGTCGAACTACCCGTGACATGAATGGAATTACCGGCGGCCCTGTCCGTCACCGCCCGGTGCGCGTCGGGCGGCCGGGCCGGTCATCCGATGTCGGCCATTCCCAATTTCGGCCCAAGGTTTGGCAACGTGCCAAGGTCCCGCGCCACCCGTCCTGGGCTCTCCCCCGCCCCTTTCACCCACATCCGACGCTCTTCAAGGCAGATCCCATCTCCAAACGACGACGGAGGTGGTTCTGAACCTTCACGGTGTCCCCCTCGGGGTGGGATGCCCTGCCCCACCTGCATAGGCGGCCTCGAACCCTTCCTCTAAGCCCTTGCCACGCAATCGACACTCACAGCCGCCCAGCATCCAAGTAGGCTGGCCCCCTTCGGCCGCCCGGCCTCTCAAGACGCCGCGCGCCGCCGCCGACATAGGGTTCGGGTGGCCCTGAGGGGGCGAATGCGCACCGGTCCGGATCGCAGCGAAGCCACACTGCCCCAGCAATTGATCCCCAACACATGGCGCCGACATTCCCACCCCGAGAATGTTGATCGACGCACGGGCTGTGGCCAGGGCGCTTGCCTTTGAAGTGACCTCCCAGGGTGAGCGATTCGGCTACGACGCCAGGCGGAATGGGGTGCCACCCCTTTGTCGGGATTCTCTTCAAGGCGCTCCCCAAAATGCGGCCTCGGGGGGCCTCGGGGGGCCGGGGGTGGCGGGAGGGGCGGGGGAGAGGGGGGGGGAAGGGGGCGTGCGGGGCTGGCCGGAGGGACCGGTGGTGCCCCTCGCCGCGGGGCCTTCAACTTATGTCTGCCGCCGGCGGGGTTGGGGGCGAGTTGTGCACAACAGATGGGTGGGGATTCTCGTACAGCTGGGCGCCGGTACAAGGTGGGCGTCCCGTAGTAATGGCACATCGGTTACCGCGATCGATGACGAGAAGGTTGGGGGGGGCGTCATGGGGCCGGGGAGGGCAGCCCCGGATCGGTTTCCTGTTGGGGCTTGGTACTTGCTGTACTTTCTGTAGTAATTTCCTCGTCGTTTCGTATGTTATGAGCCAGGGACACAGTCCCGTGGGTGTTTCAGCGTGTGCATCTTTTGGGGGCTTTCCGCTGATCTGGTGGCTTCCCGATCTCCCTTTGTTTGTGGTGTGGCGATTCATTGACCCTTTCATGACTTTGTGGAAGTCGGTGCTTTAATACAGAACACAGTTGGCGTTGCCGTAAATGTGGTTTTAGTTCAACTGTCGAAAGGCGGCCAAACATGGCGCTCGCTCTACCATATTGTTTGTCTTCTTCGATTTAGTCAGCGGCAGATCCAATTCGAAATCTGCCTGCGAATTGGCCAGATGGCGCTGATGTGGCATAAACATGTCCATAGTTGAAACATCCCTACACGACTTTCGGCGTTTAGCACTGTTGAATGGCCATTGCATGTGACTGTCGATTATGGCTGGTGAGTGACAGCCACGTACACATGAGTCAGAGGGAACGTCCGGTCCAAACGCCCAGACAGAGGCACCCAAGCGGTACACAACTACCCACCACCATTCCAAGCGCAGATGTGCAGAGAAATGGAAAGTGATTAGGGCAGCTGGCTGAACAGGAAATGAGTCCTGTCACAGTTTGCGACATGACATATATGGTTCCATCTGACTGCCTAAGCTGCCCGCATCTTACGCACTCCGTATTCCACAAGAAGCCCAACTGGCCTTTCACCCGCACAAGTTCCCTAGCCAAATTGGCCAGCTGCAATGACTCACTGCACATTAAGGAGCAAAAGATGCGCCAGATCAGTTCACTCACTTTTCGAATCAGCCTAGCAAGCCTCGCGGTCAGAATTGGGGCATAGGCAAATATATTAACGCAAACCACAGTAACAAACGCAGCACCAACCGCTTCCCAAAGCTGGAACAGTTGGTTAATATTTAAAAACACTCCCAGTCAGTCCTTGGTACTGTTTCCAGGACTATGGACACTGCCCAAAGTTATCAACACATCATCTACATATATTCCGACGTCAAGTTTCTCCCCTGCAACAAATGTGTTTCACGCAACTCAGCTGTCAACGACTTTTCCAACAGCTCTTTCCAGCTCTTTTGCAGCTACTGAGCCTGACTCCTAGTCAAATGCTGTCCCTGAACTTCTCGTGTTCTTTCTCGCAATTCGACGTTGACAGGAGCTGGCGGATACTTGGTTTCTGCACATTTTGAAGGAGGGGTTTCTACCTCATGGGGCTCTATTTGG